TCAGGGCCGAGAGAGAGAGAGAGAGAGAGAGAGAGAGAGAGAGAGAGAGAGAGAGAGAGAGAGATTCTTCTAAAATACCACTAAATATAACATTTATAGTAAGTAATAAGTAATGTGCAAATAAGTTTTATTAAATTCAGTCGAAAAGGCTTGTCTAATTTTAATTGTATTTTCCAATTTTCGGATAACGTTGTATATTAGGATCGGAATTATGGATAACCTGTCCGATGTTCATCTTTGTTCAGTTTTTATTCAAGTACTTTTGATGATCTCAGTCATTATCAAGAATCATTTGTTGTCAGTGTGATAGACAAGATTATGTTGGCTGCATCCTGGTATTTTTAAAGAGCTGACACTTGAAAAGCCATGCCATATGTAACGAAAAAAGGAATGTATCGAATATTAGGCGTTTTTTACTCATTATAACTATTTTATAAACTCTTCAAGATACCCGTTTTCTGTGGTCCTGTGCTGACATATATTTTATTTAATGTGGTAGGAATTTGAAGTTTTTTCCTTTGGGCATTGTGTGCTGTAAAGTATTTTGCTATTACCCACTAATATTTGTCGTATGCTGATAGTTGCATTTTGGGCGTTCGTGATGTGCTGATCGATATGTGAACGAATTGCATTAAATGTCGGCGAGTGGTATGACAATTCACCGGAAAGCGTCGTACATGTGTGGCTGATGTAGGGATTTAATGCTATTTTTTAATGTTTGCTGTTGGAGATAAGAGAATGAGAATTTCTAAACAACGTATTTCTTTTATATAAGTGGATATTTGGGGGCTCGTCTTATTGGTAATAATGAGGTTAGATGTTTTTGAACTTTATCGTGGATTTGATTAAATCTAACGTGTCTGTTGGAATCGTTAAGCAAATTATCTTTAGAATGATGTTTTCAGCCTGTTTAGAATTAAGGTGCATCTGATTACGACAGAATAAGTAAACTAGGCATTTTTTTTTGTTTATATTGGGTGATAAAACACAAACGGTGAAATATAAACTCCTGAATATAGGTAACCCCTTGTATATAGGTAACCCTCACAAAAAAAAATCGATGCTTAAAGTTTAAAATGCATTTTAAAAATGAATATTATTCTTGAAGCTTTTACTTTACTTTTAATCTCAAGCTAATAGATTAAAGTTAATATACCCAATTAGCAAAGTATTTTGGTGTATTTCAAATCGAATTTAAATTGATTGGAATGATTTTTTCTACTTGTCAGTAAAATCGACGAAGTTTGCCACATTGATAGAACATAATTCTCTTTATTTAAAAAATCTTTAAAAAAAATAAAGTATACTTTTCTGAAACGTTATTTTGAAAAATTAGCTGATCCAAAGTTTAATTAATCTTAATTTAAACAAATATTACTCACTTATAGTTTAAAATATCGTAGAAAAGCATCTTTTTAAAAACGCAGTGGAAGTTTTTCAACTTGCACTATTTACATTATTCGGACTGTTGTCCTCATCTTCACCGGTCGTTGTATGTTCCGGGCTTCTTCAAGTGATTTGAATTTCGAACAGAACTTTTTATTTCGTCCATTACTCTTTATTTTATTTTTTTATTTTTTGGCTGACCTTAACCCTTAACGCCAGCCAATAGAAAGCACGATGTTAAAGGTTGATGGTTAAGCCAACAAACATATGCATACTTAAAAATTCCGTTGAACTGTAAAATCTAACGTTGTTTTGCTTGCCTGATCTTAAGGTTATTACATTGTTAATTTCAGAACTTTCTACTTTATCATCTCGTGTTTATAAAGAGCATTTGAGCGTTTAGATACAGATTTCTTCCCTTCTTTCTTTCTTTTTCTCACCGAAATCAAACAGCGTCTCTGATATGTCTTTTCCGTCTTTCCTCGCCTTCAAAACAGAATGATCTATTATTTATAAGGTATGGGAAGGACATAATGAATGCACTGTCTAACGAAGGAACATAGAAACACGCGGATGTACAATATGATGATAATCCGAGACTGCATCGTCCTGGCCCGGGATGGTAACACCTGTTATGATATAGTCCTGGGTATGACGATAAACTATATTCGGCATCAAGTCCTCTGATCGGGAGATTGGAGCTTTTAAGGAGCATGTAACCACCTCTTAATTGATGATGTTCCCAGGTCCGTCCTGACCCAGAGTGGTAGCACCTGTTAGGATCACTGCTATGGGCAAATATTGAATCCGCCAAACCAAAATCAACAGTACATTTTTATAATAAAATGACCAATAATTCATTTTGATAGCAAAATGACAATCAATGCAACACTAAAATATAAAAATACATTTTTATTGTAAAATTTCCAGCAATACATTTTATCATCTACAAAATATTCAACTAAAAACATTTACTGTGAAGTATAAAATTATGTACAAAATATTTAGATTTCGGCATTAAACAAACCATAGAGGTGTTGCTATGCCGCTAATCAAAATAAACCAACCAGACAACCAACATGAAGGAACTCTTTCATGACATTAGTTCATATAATATCTTACAATTTCTTAAAAAAAAGTCCAACTGTATTCTAAAATATAACTTCAACAAAACTGCATCATAAAAGACATATCTTGGGATAAGGAGATCACGAAAGCGTTGCAGGCGTAAGATGTACGAAGTCTTTGTAGGAGAAATCAGAGAAATATGCCAGGAAGTAGTTCAAGTTGTCCCTTTTGTGGTTGCCCCAAGAGGGACGATTTCCAGAAATCTTTTGTCTTGAAAGACGTCTTAGGCATACTTGATATCATTGGGAGAGCGCAGGTGCTAGTTCTACATGAAAGAGATTATCTCGTGTGAAAATTGTTGTATCTTAAAACTGCAGAGTAGAAGCTGGGAAAACATCATCATCACCCGGCAAAAACATTTAAGATGCAGAGAGGATATCAAATAATAATAATATATTGGAATCACGGATTTATTTACTGCAAAATAAAATTGGTAGAAGCTGTTATCTATATATAAAGGCCAAAGGTCTGTATGTGTATGCGTCAGGATTTTGATAACGGAATACAATTTTAAAATGCATGACGGGAACTGAGTTCTCTGATATCTGATAATCGATAAACTGATGTGGTGTGACGTGGGGCGGTTGGTTAAGTGAATTAAAAAAGTTTTGCGTTTGATAACAGCTTGCTGCCCTCTCTGTAGAATTAGAAACACTGCGAGTAAATGGTGGTTCATGTCTGTGAATCCATGACTAGTCATTGGTTTACCAGAGGAACGTCATCTCCGTGCAGTGATTGCCAGTGTGCATCAGTTGTGCATCAGTTGTGTGCTGATGTAAAACGGCTCGAAGCAAAGGGTCGGAATGAATTAAAACTGATTTATAAGAAAATATTTTAAATGCTTTTGCCAAATTTGGTTTTTTGGCAATGAATCCAGGATTTGAAGAAAATTAATTTCCGAAGTTCCTTTCTGCTCCCATGTTGATTTTAGATACATTTCTACGTTTTTGTAAGATTTACATTTTGTTAGCATTTGATATTAAAGACAGATATGTAGACGTTAAAATAGAAACGGGACAGTAAGAAAACAGTGTCATCTGCTTAGTTATAAAATATAATTTTGTGTTGCTAGCCTGAATTTAAGGCCGTTTATTTATTCATTTCAGAACTTTCCATTTTATGTCTCTGTATTTATAAAGTGTATTTGAGAAATTAATTATGGCTCCTGGAGTGAGTGAATGAGTGATAGATAGATAGATAGATAGATAGATACGAACAGACAGAGATAGATAGATAGATAGATAGATAGATAGATAGATAGATAGATAGATAGATAGACAAATATGAACAGAGTTAGATAGATAGATAGATAGACAAATATGAACAGAGATAGATAGATATATATACATACATATATATATATATATATATATATATATATATATATATATATATATATATATAGATAGATAGATAGATATGTGAACATACAGAGATAGATAGATAGATAGATAGATAGAATATGAGACATACAGAGATAGATAGATAGATAGATAGATAGATAGATAGATATAAACATACAGAGATAGATAGATAGATATATACATAGATAGATAGATATGAACATACAGAGATAGATAGATAGATAGATAGATAGATAGATAGATAGATAGATAGATAGACAAATATGAACAGAGATAGATAGATAAATAGATAGATAGCTAGATAGACAAATATGAACAGAAATAGATAGATAGATATAAACATACAGATATATATATATATATATATATATCTATATATATATATATATAGAGAGAGAGAGAGAGATAGATATGAGCATACAGAGATAGATAGATAGATTATGAACCAAGTGAGATAGATAGATAGATATGCACAGACAGAGATAGATAGATATAAACATACAGAGATAGATAGATAGATAGATATATACATAGATAGATAGATAGATATGAACATACAGAGATAGATATATAGATAGATAGATAGATATGAACAAAATGAAATAGATGATAAATAGATGAATAGACTGTGATAAATATGAACAAAATGAAATCGATAGATAACATGGATATTCTGAAATAGATAGATATGAACAGATTGAGAAAGATAGATACACATGAATAGACTGGAATAGATAGATTGATATAAACATAATGGAATTTATATATGAATAGATTGTGATAAGATAGATAGATAGATAGATAGATAGATAGATAGATAGATAGAAATGTATATTCTGAAATAGATACGTAGATATGAACAGAATGAGATGTATAGATGATAAAAAGATGAATAGACTGTGACAGATAGATAGATAGATAGATATGAATGGATATTCTGAAATAGATATGAACAGAATGAGATAGAAACTGAGAAAGATAGATACATAGATAAATATGGACAGCCATGAATAGATAGATAGATAGATAGACAAAGCTATCAAAAGTTGTGATGTGATATTTTCATTTCTTCCATCATTATTTCGATTATTATTCTCAATATAATTGTTTTTAATGTTTCCTCTTTTTCCTTCCCTATTTTTGAGTAGTGTAATTCGGAAACTTATAAACTATTACGATTATTCCAAGGATTTAGCCTTGCCATTTTGAGAATTTAAAGCAGAATCCTTGTCATCACTAAAATATTGTTTAGGGCAACAGTTCGCACTCTCGGCATTTCTTTAATTATTTCACCCCATGCAAGGCAATAAAGCCACTAAGACACAATGAGTTACTGAATGTGAAAGAATACAAAAAAAAAAAAAAAGAAAACTTATTAAGGCGCGAGGACCTGTGAATAACGATTGACATTTCATTTAAATTTTTGGCTGGAAATCATGGAACCGGAAGAGTGTTCTACAAGCCATAAACACGGGAAAAGAAACTGTTAACATAGAACTTACAGTCTACATCTTGCCAATTCAATTGAGACTTTATTGCTATTCTCGTATTGCGCTTAAATTCATAAAGTCATAGCGGAGAGTTCATTGGTACCTCATTGGTACCAATGTTTTTAGTCTAAGTACCATAGCGGAGAGTTCATTGGTACCTCATTGGTACTAATGTTTTTAGTCTAGGTACCATAGCGGAGAGTTCATTCGAATAATTACCATGAAAGTATTTATAGTCAAAGGGAAGTTACATTCCGGTGGTTGAAAAGTGACTGAAACAGAGACGTCAGATCATGACCAATAATATTGCTGATTCTTTTCTGGATTTTATCAAGAATTTTTAAACATATAGCAGAAGCACCAGGCCATATGTGGTCGAAATATTCAATGCATAGGTGAATAAATATGTAAAATAGATTCAGGAGAGAAAAAATCGACCAGAACGGGACAGTGATTAAAAGTTTCGTTTTCCTTGTTCCAATTAATAGCAGATTGTAGGTCAATTTGACCTTAACGAACTGATAAAACTTACTATCGAGACAAAAGTAACTGCTTGTATCATCAGCATATACATCAAGTTGAGAACTGATGTCATCAGGAAGGTCATTGATGAAAAGTAAGAACAAGGATAGAGCCCTGGTGGACAACTGCATTGGTACAAAAAGATCTAGAAGAGTGGCCATTCATTTCACGATTTGATAGGAAAGATTGAATCAGTTAAAAAAATTCACCTGGAGACATCATAACCTTTCAACATGTGAAGAAGACCCAGTATGCCAAACCCTGTCAAACGCTTTCGAGATATGCAAAACAACAGCCTGAGCTTCATCGTTCTTATCTCAAGCTTGAGAGGCTCTCTCAGCAACAATCATTAAAACTCTTAAATTTGAACTAGAGAAACAAAAGTCTGTATTGGTTATCTGAAAGAAAAGCCCGCAATCTGAGATGCTTAATGACTTCAGAGTTGATTATATATTTATATAGTTTTTTTTAGTTTTTCTTCACAAACACTATGCATTTGTTCCTGACTGATATGCAAATGGAATTCTCTTGGTTTAAAAACCTTTATTTGGGTTGTGGATATCACTTCATTTGTTGGTTACTATATGTTGTGATGATATAACCAAACTTCCCCATTCACGATAATGGACGGACTGGTTGCCGATTAAGTACGACCACAGCGGACAGTGGAAAAAGGTCTTCGTTTGTTAACACCTATTGAGGTTAGCATACTCCCGACTCTGTCTCTGTATTTTGACATACCTACATCCGATTATAAAATTATTATTGAAAAACCAACACTCGGGTTTACTTTGTTTATTATATCTTGCACGAGAGAAAACACTATATTACTTAGTTTATGAATTCTAGACATTATTTCAATGGCTTTTGGAAACTTGCAATAATTGTCAAATATCTTTGATTTATCCAAAACAACGGCCCGAGTTTCACTATTCTTATCCAAAGACAGGTAGAAACTTTTAGCAAGAAGTGTTAATACATCAGCATTTGACGTAGAAAAGCGAAATTGCCTAGATTTTCGTAAAAAAAAATGTTATTTTGAGTAAGATAAAGAACGCGTGTCTAACAGTTTCTTTTCTCGCACTTTTCACTTGTGGAACTCCCTCCCGGTTCTATATTTTCCAGCCAACTTTAATTTCCAAAAATTGAAATGCAATGTCAATCGCTATTTACTTGTTTAATCTTTTCTTTTTCCGCTCATTATTATTGGTTTTGTTCTTAATTCTTCTGCACCAGAGTAAACCCTCGTCCTGGGTAAGACGTTAAACTACATCCAGCAGCAAAGCCTCTGATCAGGAGGTTTCGAGGAGCGTGGAACCACCTCTTAATTGCTGGTGTTCCCAGATCCACCCTGAACCGGGGTGGTAGCACCTGTTAGGGTCCCAGCTATGGGCAAATTGTTAACTATTACCAGCAATACTTTTTGAATAAAAATTATTACCAGCAATACAATTTTGAAGGAAATATATTACCAGAAACAAATTTTTGACAAAACAAAATATTACCAGCAATAAAAAATGTTGTCGGCATTAAATAACCCATTGATGTTGATATGCCGTTAAACAAAATAAACCAAACCAAACCAAACCAGAGTAACACCTTATGTCTTGGCTTTACTACCTTGCTTGGGGTGAAATCAATTAAAAGAAAAAAAAAGGGACCCGAAAGTTTTGCTCCCATTTCCAGTTACATATTTAAGTGAAGTTTGATTTTCGACAATATGCAACTTCAAAAAATAAACACTAAACGTATCTTCACATGGCCTAAGAGTTTAGCGGCCAAAACATGTCCCTGTTTCGCATTACTTTTATTTCTTACATTTTCGTAATTAATGTTCCAACTTTTATAATTGTTTCTACGTCATTAAAGACTACATCCAATCTAATATAATTGTGAATTTAGTAGGGTGATTTAATTTCATTAAGACTTGGATAGGAGAGATAGATTTATTTTTTATGCTTTGTGTTATCAGAGACACACGTACGTAAGTTTAGGGGAGGTCGGTAAAATATTCAAGCGTGTGACATAACATGTAATTTCAAATTAACTGTTGGGCTTTTTTAGATTGGAACAGGAATCTAAAGTTGTAAAAATCAATTTCTTTTTTCTTTAGATTTGGAAATAATTTTCAATTTGAGAAAAAAAAAAGAAAAAAAAAAGAGCGTTGCTGGAAGAATGAATTGTGGCGCGACATTTTCATTTTCTATTGGAATGGTAATTTCTATTGGAATGGTAATTTCTTGATTAAATGATTCTGGTTGCTAAACTCTCAACGTTACAGACAAATTTGTCCAGTCAAATGGTTTTCCACTTTTCTTATTTCTCACTTGTTTGGATAAATATGAACAGACAGAAAGATAAATACATAGAAAAAACAAACTGAGATAAACAGATTGGAATGGAAATTGTAATAGTAGCCTTTTCTTTGTATGGAAGTATTCAGCATTTATAGATCGAATATCCAGTGTTACTGTTATCTGTCTATATCTCTGAGATAAGCTATTATGATTACATGCCTTATTTACATTATTCAGACTGTTATCCTCATCTTCATTGCCATATTCACAACGTTTCGGCCGTTGTACCCTCCGGCCTTCTTCAGATGATTGAAATTTCTCTTCAATATCTGTCTCTATATCTGAGATGAGGTATTATGATTATTTGCATTATTTACATTATTTCGATTGTTATCCTCATCTTCATTGCTATACTCTCAACGTTTCGGCCGTTATACGTTCCGGCATTCTTCAGGTAATTGGAAAGAGATATTGAAGAAAAATTCCAATCACTCGAAGAAGCGTAGAACGGCCGAAACGTTGCGAGTATGGCATTAACGATGAGGGTAACAGTCCGAATAATGTGAATGATTCAAGTGTTACTGTTAGATGAAATTCATAAAATCTTTCTCTTGAAATAATTTTTCAGAAAAATAGATTTTTCAAGTTCATTGTCATCATTCATTGATGGATGCTTCTTTCAAGTTGTTTTTTTTTTTAAGTATTATTGAAAGTCAACATTTTGATTATGCCATTATTTTCTCTTTGGGGAACATGTACTATCCATTTTCGTTGTTTCTGCTGTTGAAAGTCTTCATGAGATGTTGTTCTGTTAGTGACTCTATAGAGGTTCGTAGAAGGATGCTCCTAACTAAGACCTACAAACTTCATTCATTCGAAGCCACATTTAGTCATCGATCTGAGAAATTTAGATATTTCTGAACGGGTTTGGGTACCAGGCATAACGTTCATATGAGAGTCTAGATCTGACGAAGCTATTCAAGGTCGGAATTAGTAAAGAGAGATAGATATGAACGGACCGCAACAAGTAGATACTTACAAAAATGATGAATATATATATATACCGTATTTTTCGGCTTACAAGACGCTGCGGACGGAAGCTGCACCCTAATATTTATTAATTAAAGAATAACAAACACTTAAAATCCCGTAGGATAGTATTTAAGTGTTTGATATTCTTTAATAATTAATGATTTTGGTCTGTTTTTTGACATAGAGCTCTCCCTGGATATATATCCTCCTTGAAATTTCCATACGGATTACCATATGATATAGTTGCTATATATATATATATATATATATATATATATATATATATATGTATGTATGTATATATATAGGGTGTCCCTAAAGTCTGGGAACATCGGAAATCCCATAAACTGTATGTTTTTTTTTAACTCCACAGATTAAATATGGTTTTGTCGAAAGAATAAAGTATTGACATCTTTTCTGGGGTATAGATAGATATGTACAAAAATATATATATATATATATATATATATATATATATATATATATATATATAAATATATGATGATATATTCAATTACGCCAATCAAATAGTATATATATATATATATATATATATATATATATATATATATATATATATTAATAGGGATTGACGTAATTGAATATATCTCTTATATATATATATATATATATATATATATATATATATAAATACCAATTTGTGAATGGAAAAGGATAATTCCAAGGGGATATTAATCCAATGAGAGATCAATGTAAACTACAGAGAATAATAATAATAATAATAATAATAATAATAATAATAATAATCGAAAGAAAATGAATCTTTAAGTTTTTTTTCATTATGTATACATACATACATACATATATATATATATATATATATATATATATATATATGTATATATATATATATATATATATATATATATATATATATATATATATTCTCTGCCGATTCTCGAAATATCTATATTTGATATTTGATCTGTATAGGATAGTATAGTATAGAATTGGTGTATACGGAATAAATTCCAATAACCAACAAATATTATTCTTAAAAGAGTGCTCAATACAGAGTAGAGTAAATATAATCATTTATTCGAAAATTGTAACATAAAATTGTAATAAAATCAATACTATTTTTGTAGTGATTTTATAAGATTTTTATGTTATCATTTTCATTTTCATATATGTGTGTGTGTGTGTGTGTGTATTGGACAGAGTTTCTTTATTGACTGTACTAGGGTAGAGCACCCCAAATTTGCAGACTTCACAAAGAATTAGAAATAGCTTCATCGTCAATTCCTACCGCCACGTCTTTCATTCATATCGCCCACGCCATTCATCATAATTATTTTTAATAGTAACCCTCTACCTTAAGTGGCATTCGGGCTTTGTATTGGGTGACCTTTATTATTATAAAACAATGGCTTAGTTCAGTCTGTCTAGCCAACACTGCTCTACATATGAAAATAGACCTTTCCCGTGTGCTTACACACACACACACACACACACACACACACACACACACACACACACACACACACACACACACACACACGCGCGCATACACACACATACAATATATATATATATATATATATATATATAAGTTTTGAACAATAAAAATATTAAAAATTAAAATCTTCAGACACACTGGGTTGTATATTAATATTCTTTCGTCTTTATTATTATTTCATTTAGATTCCTAGAGGGAAAAATGTCTGCTTTCTAGTAGCAGTGAACTACTGAAATGAATGTCTTGATGGCGAAAATGAACTTTTTTCTGTAGTTTTCATTTATATATATATTCAGATATAATCATATATATATATATATATATATATATATATATATATATATATATATATATATATATATATTAGAAAACGTTTAATGTATCGTAAAAAATAAAGACCTGACCGCAATAAATTTTATTTACCCTTTATTTTATTTGTTTTCTTGAAATGAGAAACAAAAAAGCGATCGAAAAGTAAACAAGAAAATGAAGCCCAGTGTAGCGTCGGCTATTCTGATTGGTTGACTGGAGTTGAGAGAGGGTGTTTGGGGAAGGGAGGGAGTTGAGGGAGGGAGGGATTGAGGGAGGGAAAGATAGGAAAAGATTTTTTTTTTTTTTTTTGGTCAATTTTCACCTTCGCTCTTGAACAACGTCCATCACATCGTAAGGAAATGGAAGTCGAACTAACAAGTCACGTGATTTCGAAAAAAGACTGTGGAGTTGATCGAAATATAGGGAGAAATTAAAATAAAATAATAATAATAATAAAAAAAAAAAACTATTTACCCCGGTTGCTTTCGCTTAGCAACAGCTAATCAACTTCCGGCCGATAGATTTTTGAGGAAGAATTGCTTTTGTTGGAAATAGCATCATCTAGATTTATTTTATATATATATATATATATATATATATATATATATATATATATATATATATATATATATATATATATATATATATACACACACACACACACACACACATATATATATATATATATATATATATATATATAAATTGTTTAAAATGCTATTTTAGTCGATATCCTGATTTGAGTTGAAAGTCCAGTTTTTTTTTAAACATTGTTTATTCCGTTTGCCGGTCTGTGCATTCAAGGAAACTAGAGGGCATTTAAGATTTCTTGAATGCGAAGGCCGCCAGACGAAATAAACACTGTTTGAAAAACGGAAATTTTTTTTTCTGTTGATTGACCACAAATAAGGTAAAGTTACTTATCGCAAATATTAATCCATCCCAAGAAATTATAAATCTGTTTTTTATTAAGTTTTTGGCACTCTTTTGAAATTATAAATTTTATATCAAAATTTGTTTAGCAACCCTCAGAATGGAAAAGTTACCAAAAATCATTGAGTAATTCACATTTCATAAGTGTGGATGATATTTGAGATACTTACAAGGGATTTTTTTTTCCAATTTAAAAAAGAAAAAATCTGTTTTTGACTTGTTTATCGGGGACAGCGCGAACAGGACCCCACACTTTGAAACACAAGTCGGCCACAGTTGGGACGATCGCAAAAGTCAACCCTACCGGAGTGCAATGGAAGGGCCTCGCTCTGGGCGAATTAACAGAAAAGATCCGCGGAACGTTCTACTCATATACGAGTATCGACTCGTTTGATAGCGTTTGAAGTTATAACAATATGTCGGATAAAAAATAAAAATCCCTTAACTCTTTAGAAATTGCTTTGTTTACTTTTCGGATATGAAACTGAGCAGATATTTTTTTTTTTTTTTACAAAGCGATTCACCTTTTACAAGGTTAGGGAGCCACTCGAGGCAGAGTGTTACGTTTGGAGGCCACCTGTGTTTATCGGAGTGGAAGATAACGGTAACCGATGACTCGGAACGCGCATGTCGGTAAAGATAACGCTAGCGCTGAACAGTTTAAGATTTTGTAGATATCGGGGAAACATCCTATTGGGAGTCGGTTTTATAGGGTAGTGGTTCGCGAAGAATTTACTTCTCACCGATGAAATACGAAGGAAATATGAATGGTTTGCTACTATGTTAGTGGAATGGCGTGTTCTTGCTGAGAAGGTTTGCCACAGCGGGGCCAGGGAGTGTAGTTCGTCCGAGCACTTTCCGTGGAAGCAGCGGTAGACCGGCGAGAGGCTTACTACATCCTGCCTGTGGGAGAGAGGTTTTAAGGGTGGAGAATAGTTTGTCACCCACAAGGGCTTGGAGACCCTTTAGAACTCTATCAAGACTGGAGAGTGTGGTCTGGGCAGCTCCCATTCAATATGACAACAGTACTCGATTTTTAGTCTGATCTGGATCTTGTAAAGGTAGAGAATAGCAGCAGGGGTCAAGTACTTACATTTTACCCGCATCCTTAGCAATGGATCGTATGTACGAGTTCCACCTGAGGTCGGGTGTGAGTTTTACCCCATTGGTTAGTTTGTCCAATCAGCAGTCTTTGATCATCGAAAGTTTTACAGGTGCGCCCGTATATAATCGTATAGCGTATATTTTTAGACAGATTATTCATGTAGATCTAAAAGTGTGTTGGTCTGAGGAGTGATCCTGGGGGACGCCTG